CCAGTAGCGGAAGCTGCGGAGGGCAAATTAAATTTAATGTTAGCCGAAGCCAGAAAACCCAGACGATAGAGCGTCACTACGACAGCTCCACCCAAACCCAAATTATGTTGTAAAGCCAATGTGCAGTTTTTAACTTGTCGTTTGCCTGCCTGTCCTCTTAATTGCCCGCATAGTTCGGCGCATTGAGCCAAACCAGTGGCATCTAAAGGATGACCTTTGGAAATAAGACCACCGCTAGGATTGATAACATATTTGCCGCCATAAGTGTTGTCACCGCTATCAATTAATGCCGTTGCTTTGCCTTCTTTACACAATACTAAGGCCTCTTCGCGATGTATATGCTCAATGGCAATGTGCATAAGTTGGGCCAAGGCCACGGCGCGAGCTATAGGCTCATGAACAGCGACATTTAGCAAGTACATTTACATATGAGGTACAGATATTCTCTTGAATTCATTACTACGAGTTTGTCTAAAAAAACGGTGGTAAATTTTTCTCCTCATATTAAGCCAACTCGAAAAGAAGCTAAGTTGATTCAAGGGTTATTCGACAATTACCATATTCCATATACAACGAATAAGATGTTATTATGATTATCATAACTTTTATACCCCACACCACGTGCGGTATAAGGACATAACACACGAAGGACCTCAGATAGACCAACCTTTTGGTATAACGATCGATTCAAACTCATTTTTCCACTGTCCGTGCTTGTCGACAGTAGAAAATAATGTATTTTTCATTGTTTTAAACTAATGAAATAAATTCTCAGACTACCCGAAAGACAGTTGAACACTAGCAACCAATAAAAGATGAGTCTACCTCATTCGGTGCTGCATACATCCGCACAAACTCCATACAAATGTTTATACCACAAGTGGTGTAAGGTAAAAAATTCTGCTAATAGCGTACACAAATTTCATACTTGTTACCTAGCTACCATCAATCTGCAGATTACATCTATTGCAAAAAAAATACAAATTCGTAACAATACTAATATAACTACTCGTTGCACACACGTTTTTAATTTCTTACTCCGAATGCTTTCCAAATAACAATAAGAGCAAAATTGCGTCGAATCTAACACTCATTGAAATTGAAAAGCATGAATAACCAAGAAAGATACTGTACAGTGTAAGAGCAAAGAAAGCAAATATTGGGAAATATGTTCAATGTATTTATATAAATATGTTATCTAATATATTAACTTAAGCTAAAGCACTAGCCCGTCGATCAGTGCCTTGAGATAATGCTCGAATTAAATGGCGCACCTCACCGGTCTTATAAGAATGCCTGCCCCGTCACACCATTGTTCAGTGATTTCTTGCAACGAAGCGTTCAAAATCATTTTTAATTGCCGTAATATCATCCAGCAGTGAATTCATAAAACCTAATGCTTTTCCTAAACACGTGACATATGAAAAAAAGTTTAACATCATAAGATTGTCACCTTAAATAATGCTGGAGATAAGTTTAGAATAACTTCGATAAGGTCACTTAACTCATTAGCAACCAATCAAGTGAAAGGTTTAGGCTGTGGTTTCCTTCCCGATTAACGAAAATTGCTCAAGTTTCCGCTGGCTTTAAAAAGCATATATGCGTTCCATCAACACATCCAATCACTGTATATAAAATGTAACAGAAGCATTAGAGTAGCAATCTCTTGTTGTAAAACAAAAATTTCACTTACCGCCTGGAATACCAAATTTCTGGTAGAACCACACCTTTGTGCTCGCGCTTACGGTCCATTGAACCCCTCTGCCCTATGTTTCCTAATCTTGTAACACCTCTGATAGAACTGTTGATAACTTCCTTTGTGCAACACTACGTTACGATCACTACAGGCCAGCCAAGTCAACGTGCAACGCTGGCATATTTACTGTTTAGCTGGCATATTTTGTGTTTAGTTTAAATATATACTTTATTTTATTTGTATTTGTTTAGTTTAACTATACATATTTCATTCAACTTGTATTCGATTTAATTTAAATATATACTTTTACTCTTTGCTCTTGCTTTGCACATTCATATTTGGTTGAGTCTGCACTCATTAACATAGCATTATTCATGCACTTGCATTTGCATATTCATGTTTCTGTTTTAGCATAACTGCCCATAGACAAAGATATCGCAAATTACATAATCCAGACCTTGAAGTGTGTCGTGGTTGTTTACATTAATTTACTTATGTTGCATTTTTGTAACACACTTCAAGCTGTTCATATTTCTGGAGTAAACGAACGCGAAAATGCAATTGCATCATTTTATAATATTTATTCATTGCAGAATAATTCTGCATTAGTTTATATAAATTGTGATTTATAAATCACGTTTTTCAAATAAAACTTTATCTTTGCTCAAACATTGATCATTTTGTTTTTTTGTTATCTTAGCGTTTCTTTCAGTTCCAAGTGCTGAAAGAAACACATCAATCACACACATCAGGGTCGACCTGACGAAGCGTTTGGTCGACTTATGCGTTAGGATACAAACCCCATTTTCTCGTTTAAATAGACCGTACAAAATTGAACGGCGTGATACTAGCTTATTGCGTTTGTGTCAAAACACTGCGCTTACCTCCACTTCGGAAACGCGGAACTTCTTCATAAATCTACATACAGCAATATATATCAATATATATAATACGTGTTTGTAAATATTAGAAACAGTTTTAGAAATAATTTACATAACGATTTTAAGGCAAAGGTTTTCTCGCCCGTCTCATACTGATCCTTTCTTGTGCAACGGGGTTGTCATTATTGCAGTTTTCAATTAACGAGCATAAAAGAAAGTAAGGTTACATTATGCTGAAAATTTATAGATCGGTTAACATTTCTTAATTTAGCTGGATATTTAGGAAAATTTGTACTTACTTTTGCCAAATTTTGTTTCTTTTTCTCTACAATTCACAAATTTAATTTCGGACACGCTTCAAGTTCTTTAAGTTTTTGAACTAATAATACATTTGCTAACAGCTGTTTATGTTTTTCTTTTACAACTGCTTTTCTACAAGTGCAACTATAAAAGGGAAATTTTTGATAAAACAGAAGTTACTTAGAAGAATAAAAAGTTATTTATTCTCAATATTAATGCAAATTCGTTCTTACACCAAGCAATTTTATTGCCGCCAGATTTGACGAAACTCAGTGATCGCTTTGGCGACAATCGCCCTCAAATTTGCTTAGATGATTAGATTTTATTGGTTATTGTCGGCTACGTAATTGTATATCAACACTGGGTGGGAAGTAGGATGATGCTATGAAAAAACTCGATTCATCTTTCTTAACTGGTATACTACCATAGTTGTCATCACGGCATTTGGTGAAGTACAATTGCCAGTTTTAACTTCAAAAAACTTGTCATGTTTCAAAAAAAACTTTACTTAGGATAGAAAAATCACCGAGTTCAAGCAAAAATCCAAAAATGGTAAGTTACGCTGAGCATTCTGTATATTGTAGTGTGAGAAAGAAATCCTTTTAGCTTAAAAGGCCATCCCACACAATTTCCTCGAAGCACTAGCTGGTTGATCGTAGCGAGAATTAGCACAATGTAAGAATTTTTTTTTTTCAAATTCATTAATAAAATTCTGAGGAATCATCCGACGGTTATATTGTTTAATCAGAATATTTTTCCAATTTCGAAGAAGGCAAATAATAGTTAGAAATCACTGATCGTTGGGATCCTGTTACAGACGGTTTGGGGGTGAACTGGGAGCAGGCTTCGAAACAAAAGATTTCCTTTTAACGACCGGATTATGTTTTTTTTTTTATTACAATTTTATTAACATTCCCATTATCATTCGTGCCAAAAACGGTGGACAGTTTCACCAATGGAGGAAAGTTCTCATCGTAGGAATTGGCGTCTAGATACTTGAAGTAATTATAAGGATATATTTCTTTCACTTATTTTTAAGATAAGTTTGTAATAGCCATAATCGTATTAGTAGCTATTTCGCGTACTGTTTTCGGACAAGACTTGTTCAGAATGTTGTATTCATTCGAACCACATAACAGAGGGTTAATCATTTTAATTATCGGTACACTCAGGAGACTTGTCACAGTTAAGGCACCGGCTCACCTTAGCCTTACAAAACTTAGAAACATGGCCATATCTACCACACTTAAAACATTATTTTAAGGTGGGAATGAAGTAGTCAACAGGGAGGTTACAAAAATTTATCTTAATGGACTTCTGGAAGATTTTTCTTTGAAATAAATTGTTATATTAGTTGAAACAAATTCATCATTGGTGTCAGTATTTCTTCTTTAACGCCTAATGCCAGGCTTTATAAGTAAATCGGAAATCTCTGCTTTAATAATCTCATTTACAACGTATTCAATAGCGACATTGCGGATAATACGAAGTCCTTCCGTAAAAATCTTGAAATGTAAGTTAGAAGGTTTTTCTGTTTAAAATCATTACTTCTAGTGAAATTATTAGCGCGGAGAGCAAAGATGAACAATAATCTGGTTCTAGCCTTACTAAGAGTTCTTTTAAGCCATTAATCTTAAAACCGTTAGGATATTCGTTAAAAAACAAGACCAGAAGAGGTATTCATGCGTTTGCCATCAACATTTTCACAGGTTCACAAATACAAAGAATACACTATGTAGTGTAGTCATAATCTAATTACGGGATTTGGAAAGCTATTGGCACCCAAGTCAGAGGTCTTGTGAACAATGTGGTTATCAAATTAAGTTGGACCAGCAGATGAGGAAATTGTTCTTTATCAATATTATTCATATAATAACCTTCAAAGTCGTTTACATTTGCAATAAACTGATCAGACTTTGTCTCCATATGGAGACAAGTTGATTTTATATTAGCTGTTATGTATTCTATCTCGGGAACGTTTACCAAATGTCAAAAGTAAAAAACGAAAAGAAAAGTTTGAGAAGTACGAGAATACGAGAAGTACGAGGTTGTAATTTAACATGGAAGTATAATTTTCCACTTGAAAAAGAAACCACGAAGAAACCACGAAATACGAAGTTTTATTTTTTCCACCCTTTTTATTCACAGAAAATACCCGTCAGAAAAAAATGTTCTGTTGCTGTTTGCTAAAGTATGTCGTGTTGTTTCGAGTGTTGATTGGGAAAATGTGGAATAAAATAAAAAAATAAACAAGGAATAGATTTACTTATTTAAATTTAATTTAATTTAAGACTTTTGTTGTGGTGAAGCTGGTTGTAAGCAAAGAATTTTGTTCGCACAACACGCAAGAAAGCGTTTTTCCTATTTTCGTGATCAGACTTCAACTTTTTCGACTTTCAGACTTCAACTTTTCCGACCTTTTACGACTTCTAGTGGGAATTGGCAACTCACGTGTAATCACATATCCAAAAATTCGCCTACGTTTTCGGTTGGTTTATCTTTTCGATTTTAATCTTAACTAAGCAGAAGGACTGATAAATACACTCGTTCAATTTTTCGTTATCATCTGTTGTTCAGGGTTGCATTTATAAGAGAAAATAGCTGTAAATTGGAGGCAAAATAATTTCAAAAAAAATTGTTTCACTTACAAACAGGAAAGCCAGAACCAAGATTTAAAAAAAAACAACAAAGCCAAAACAAAAAAAAATATTGTTGACCCCAAGAGTTTGAATATGTGAAAGGTAAGTAATATGTTATAAATTTCTTAACAAATATTCACTTTGTGCTAATCAATATGTAAATATTAGGCGAAATTCTTCAACATATTGCTTTAACCCTTTTAATGGAAGAGGATCGCTTTACGACATAGAATTGTTATGAGATAGAGAAGTGCTCCGCGGGATTTCTCCATTCGCCTTACTTTAATTGAACACGTGTACTTTTGGTTAATAATGACCACTCCGTAAACACAGCGCAGAGGATACTTTCGGGAAACCGGAAATTATAGAAATAAAGGAAACTAAACTTTCTCCGAAATGAATCCGATAGAGCACAAATGCCGACGCAAAAACTTGATTTTACTAGAAATATGGCATGCTATGTCGTAAGTAATTTTACATTTTTGTGACAATAACTGATAATTACAATAATCCTGTATGCACGTCAGGCGGATTGCATCTTTTGCTCATATTACGTTACTTTGCAGTAGAGGGACAGAGAGATTAAGGAAAAAGGAATGTTGTGTTACGTAGAATGGCTTTATGCTTCAAATCCTCTTACGTTAACCGAAAATATGTAAGTAAATGATTTTATACTTTCGTCGGCGATGTAAATTAAAATATACACATTGCACGTAGATTTCTGCAAAAGTCTTCTATGTCTGAAGAAGCTTTTGAATGCGGTTTACGAAAAATTGGTTCGAGTGATGGCACATATAAGTTTCCGGTGATCCATTTACCTGTTGCTTTGGAATTGTGGGGTTTACTTAAGCAGTGCACAGGGCACTATTTCTAACATTTCAATTACAGTTGATTGTACATGTCCCAAGAACAAGGAAAGCACAAGAAATACTACTTACCACCAAGAATACCAAATTTCCCATAGAATCGCTCCTTTGCATTGGCATTAATACCCCCAAATCCATTACGTGCAAAGTTTCTTTTTCTGCTACAACAACAGAAATTGTGCTTTTTAATTCCTTTCTTTAAATTCTTTTTCGCAATTATTCACTTCTTACAACTTCTTTGTCTACCTGCGAAATATTATTATTATTATTATAATTTTAGACTAATGAAATAAATTCTTAGACTAAAAAAAAGACATTGGGCACTAGCGAAATAGCTTTGTTGAAGCTGATTGAATTTCATTGAGTTCACTTTTCACAAAAACGGCTAAATGTCATTATTAGTTTTTCCCTTTGCATCGTTTATTAAATAAATTCCTTTTGTTGAGAATGGCGACAGCACAGAGTTGCCTTCAATAAATGCAAACATGATAAAATTCCTTGCAACCATTATGAAAATCTCCCCGACCATCATGACCCAACATTTTTTGAAGTGATTCGGTGCGTACACAAGATTCACATTTATTTTCAAATGCCCCCCAAGATGAAGCTCTTTTCATCAACCAAAAAAGGAAGCAAAGCTTAAATGGAATAGTGGCAAGTTTTTTTTAATTTTTTTTATTATAAATTTAGCCAGAGAATAAATTCTAAGACTTAAGTCTTAAAGCACTAGCATTTAAGGCTTTCGGCTTTATTAAAAACTCTACCGCACTTGAGATTTGAACCAACGACCATTGAATTGCTAGTCGAGACTCTTGCCTACTCGGCCACTCAGGCGGGAAGTGGCAAGTTAATTTCAATATTCGCGTACGTTTCCTTTATTCATATAAATAATTTATTCATAAAGCTTGCCATCATGAAATAAAAATAATAGCAATTTATTTTAGACATCCGGGATAAACCCACGATACGAACCTGTACATGCACTGCAATGAAAGCAAAGCTCGGCTTGGTACTCGGTACACTTTTTTCTTTTGCGTAATGAATTTTGTTCTTTGTTAGCTACTGTAGAATTTTCATCAAGTCTTTATTTATACGCTCGATTTTGTTAATGCTTGTAATTAAAATATCTTTAAATATCTATCTTGCATTTTAAAAAAAATTTTGAAATATTATCCGCATATTGCTTCTTTGTTTTATGGCAGCGACTTATAAAACATATTATTTATACTATATAATTCTACTTTGTTAAATAATGGCAATGATACTAATACATTATATTTGCTATGTTTTAATGTGCACTTATTATGCATATATGCCGATTATTTCCACATGAGTAGCTAATTAAAATAATAGAGGCTTAAGCAAAGCTTAAAAATTTTTCTAATTGCACGAAAATATATTTGTGTTTCAGCCTTGGAAAAATGGCACAAAAGATTGAATCGTCATTTTCATCGTAATCATCATTAGATTTTCCGTTTGTAAACCTTAAAATATGCCAGTCGGAATTTAGGTAGTCAATATATATAATTTGTCAGGAGAATTCTAATCATCATTGCGGCGTTGAACTAAACCCATGCAATCACAAAAAGGGGTAACTATTATTTTAAAAAATAATACAATTGTCAGCATTGTCAACTTAAAAAATGCACTAGCGAGATTTGTTTATACAAGTAGGTGTCGCTTCTTTCATTAAGAAGCGCTTATTTCCTTCTCAGCAAAGTTGCGAATCTCTTTAATGGCTCGCGACTTGTTCAACTGTTCGGCTAAAAGGGATTCATTACTTTATCAATAGTTGATTCGTTTATTAATTTATTAAAGAGAAGAACCAACTGTTACGTTTAGGAGTTTGACAGCCACACGTTAATATAAACAAACATTTGATTCTTCTCTCTGTCTTTTTCTTTACCCATTAATAATAGTAACGGAAATGCGACGAAAGTTTTAAGCGATCGCAAGAAAATGTTTATTTGTCAACTGTCGTGGCGAACGAAAGTCAACTATCAAAATGCGATTACCCTGCTGTTAATGTTGCATTGACAACACCAGTAATACTCAGATGGGAATTAATAAGTCCGCAAAATAAAGTTTTAAATATGGCAAGACTATACAAATTGGTACCTTTTTCGTTTCAATGATCATCTATTATTTTTCTTATAGTTGGGGTTCTTTTTTACTTTTAGCTAGAGTTGTTGTGGATAGGAAAAAAGTGGAATATGAATAAGCAATTTTTGCAAAAAGTTCAGAAAATTTGTAGTAATTTATTTTATTATCAAAAACCTGTTGTTTACTCAAAAATAAAAGTATTGTTTCGTTTTTCCATGTGATTCAGAACAAAACAATAAGAAGATTTTTTTGTCAAAATTTTAGTGCCGCAAAACTGTGCGTTTTTGCGTTATCACGAATAAAAATAATTTTTTTTTTGCAATGTGCTTTTCAAGAAAAAGAAATAAGGTAGGAAAACTTTTATATTGATGTTTTTGGAAAACTTGTGTAAAGCATTTGAACGAAACATTTATCCCGTAATCAAAACAAAAAGGGTTGAAGAGTGTAATGAATAAAAGTGACCAGGAAAATATAAAGTACGATTCTTTCTGATTTGCTGATTAGTAACTGAAGACGATATACGTGGCCACACTGTATGTTCTAATCGTTTTATCCTTTTTTCACTTTCTTTTGCTTAAATTTTTGTGATAAATTTGCACCAAAAAATTCTGTATTTTGAGTCTGCAAGCGTAAGAAAAATTGTGTCGAAGGTAAAAATAAGGAGAAAGACGACGAATCCTTTGTAAGTATAAGTGGTGAGGGTGTGATAATGACAGATGTGCTCGTAGTAAAAGTGGTGGCACCCGAAGAAAACGACAATGACCCGGAGATGAAAGGTTGGCTTTTAAAGTGGACGAATTATTTGAAGGGTTATCAAAAAAGGTGGTTTGTATTATCAAAGGGTGTTCTCAGTTATTATCGCAATCAAGCCGAAATGAATCATACTTGTCGAGGCACAATTTCTCTGCACGGTGCACTTATTCACACTGTTGATTCATGCACTTTTGTTGTCTCTAACGGCGGAACGCAAACATTTCACATTAAGACTGCGAACGAAGTAGAACGACAATCATGGGTTACCGCGTTGGAGTTGGCCAAAGTGAAAGCTATTCGAGCTATGGAAAGTGAAGAGGAAGAAGAGAAAGAAACCCTCCACGTTGTTCCTAGCCAGGAAATAACCGCTGTTGTTCGAGATCTAACCGAACGTCTAGAAAGCTTACGCACCTGTTATGATTTAATTACGAAACATGGTGTCGCTCTCCAGGGCGCACTTGCTGAGTTGAAATCAATGAATATAATGTCTTCCGACGAAGACACTATTGTCGGTCGCATAAAAATTGTAAACGAACGAGCTACTCTCTTTCGAATTACTTCGAATGCGATGATTAACGCGTGTAATGACTACTTACGCTCAGCTGAGTCTCAGGGTCATAAGTGGTCTAAAGCACTTCAACATGAGCGAGAAAATAGGGAGCGCCTTGAAGAAATCGTGGAACAATTAGCTAAGCAGCACACACAATTAGAACAGGCGGCACATCGGGTGCAACAAAATAAATTGGCGATGAATACGCAACAAGTTTTGGAAATTGATTGTGGCGCCGTAGTGTCAGATGATGAAATTGAATTTTTCGATGCAGAAGACGACAAAGTGATTTACCAACGTCCTGCCGATGATCATGACGACGGTGCATTTATTCTTAAAATGAGCGATACAAAACAGCAGCAGACACAGACTAGTAGTAGCAGTACGAGTAGTTTTTCTTCAGAAATAGATGATAATGCGCATAAGATGCGAAAGTCTTACGGGCTTGATGATAAAGGATACGTGGATTCTCCGGATCCAAATTCCCCCAAAGGGTCCGGACACGGAAACGCGGCAGATAATGAAGATAATTCAGCAGGTAATAATGCAGGTGCGGTCGGAAACTTGAGATCTTCTCAGAATTCAGAAATATCGCTGAACAGTGGTGCTGGTGCTGGCGGAACAGGTGATCCGCGGAGGCCTGGTGGTGGAGAAATAAGTGGTGCATCCAATTCCAGGCAGGCGATTCGCAAGAGGCGTACTAGAGTGCCTGATAAACCGAATTATCCTCTTAATTTGTGGTCGATCATGAAAAATTGCATTGGCAAAGAACTGTCAAAAATCCCAATGCCGGTGAATTTTAATGAACCCCTTTCAATGTTGCAACGTCTCACAGAAGACTACGAATACGCCGAATTGCTTGACCAAGCTGCTGAATGCATCGACGAGTGCGAACAACTCGCTTATGTCGCTGCTTTTTCGATCTCTGCATATTCTACTACCACTACCCGAACTGGGAAGCCGTTCAATCCGCTCTTAGGAGAAACCTTTGAATGTGATCGAACCGATGACCTTGGCTGGAGATGTATAGCGGAGCAAGTTTCACACCACCCTCCTATGGCAGCGACTTGTTGCGAAGGACGCAATTGGGTATCCTGGCAAGAATTCACAATGACTAGTAAATTCCGAGGCAAATATTTACAGGTATATATTTCGTTCATTTATAAATGTTTCATACAGTTCAATAGTTGTTTATAAAAATAAGTCCAAGATTCCGGTGGGAGGCCAATTTGTGTTGTTTGCAAAATTGGCATTGAAACAATCAAATAGATTTCACTGGTGAAGTGATCTTTACGTGCTCAACTTTGACGCACAAACGCTTAACCAGCGTAGTATTCTTTTAAAAAGATGTGCATTTTGCAATAGTTGTTATGGAAATTAGAAGAAATGATTTTCCTTCAGCGCGCCCCGAAAATATAGTTGTTGTTATCCTTTTTGAAACCAAGGCAACAAATTTTTGAACTGGTGACAATGCTTTTGTTTGCTGAATTGAGTTTACTAACTTAGTTAAGTTTAAATTTGTATTCATGTATACATAGAAAATAGATGGTTATATTTTGTGACAATTTGGAGTGAAACTTATTCTTAGTGACCTTCCAAAATCAGTAAAAAAAGCTGTATTGGCTAAACAAAGTATCAAGAAATTCGGATTTAATTTCTAAGGAGTATTTCTAATTTAAATCTCTGCATATATTATGTATTCTTACATACATTTTTATAATAACTAATCTTAGCTTTTCTCTTCATCTTCTTTGCAAAAAACAAAAATAACGCAGATCATACCGCTCGGTGCAGCTTATGTACTATTTCCGAAGACAAATCATAAATATACATGGCATAAAGTAACCACTACTGTAAATAATATAATAGTTGGTAAATTGTGGGTGGATCAGCATGGTGATACTGAAATAGTGGGTTTAAATTCGTCCTCTGGCATCAAATGCGTTCTGAAGTATATACCATATTCATATTTTTCACGTGAAACACAAAGACGTGTTAAAGGGGTGGTCATAGATCGTAACAATAAAGTGAAATGGGTAATTCGTGGGACCTGGGACAGCCAAATTGAAATAGCTAAGGTTCGTTCGACTTCTGGGCCTCCGGACAGTCCAGAATACGAGACGGGGCTATACAAGAATATATGGGAAAGGCGTATGCCTCCGTCAGACAGCGAAAAATATTACAACTTCTCAGTGCTGGCTGCTCAACTCAACGAGATGGAAGAGGGGGTGGCACCAACCGATTCCAGACATAGGCCTGATCAACGGTTAATGGAAGTAGGTAAATGGGACGAGAGTAATCATGAAAAGCTACGCTTAGAAGAAAAACAACGTGAGAAAAGAAAACAACGGGAGGAAGAAGCTGAAGCTGCGGCCAGTAGGGGGGAACCTTTTCCACCTTACCAACCAGTGTGGTTTTCCCAACAGAGAGAAGAAGGTACCGACAACATTGTTCATATCCATACAGGCAACTATTGGGAGCATAAGAAAAGGCAAGATTGGTCCAAATGCCCAGATATATTTTAAACATTGTCATTGTTTTTCGGTGCAACTATTACAAGCTTATTTTCAAACCAAAAGTGGAACATAATAAAAAAGAGAAAAATTTACTACAGAAAGACGAAAAACAACATAATAGTTGCAGATCTTGTAGTTTATAATTAAGAAACAAAAATAAAATATGCATTAAAAAATTGGGATTAAGGATGTTATAGTTATTTCAATCGATATCCCCAGATTCTAACTACACAATGACAAACACAACAACAGCAGCCACGGAAAGGATGATGTTAGATTATATTAAATAAATATGCACTCAAATGAACTTTCACTTCAGACTCGATTATCATCAAAAGTAATTAGTGATTAACTCTACAAAGGAAATCTTACAAATAATATAAATTTTCTTAATACCACTTGTGTAAGAAACAAAGTCATTTATGTATAAAAAACACTAAAATTATTACTTATGAAAATAATTGAATAAAATATAAATCCGAATAATCGAATAACAACGCATATTAAAAAAAGTATCAACTCACGTAGGCAGCCACAAACAAAGAAAGAGCAACTAATAAAATGCAACAATAAAAATGAAGTATACATAACTTAATTGTTTCAAGAGCTATACTTTTTAGACTGTTTTTAAAATGATGCACAAGCAACAGGATGAAAAAATATATGTTTTGATTTATCTGATAGTGAAAATGAAAAAAATTCTTTATTAAATATCGTTGTGAGATTGCTGCATTTGAAGATACAACATGTAAACGAATAATTATGAACTGCATAAATATCAACTGCTTCCCATCTTCTAACTCTAAAAATTCAAAATATAAAATAGCTTTTCACTATGCAAAAATGTTCAAGAGACAGCGATTGGTTGAAATTTTGGGCTAGTTTGACTCTTTTTTGCTCTTGACAAAGTGTTTTACTTGCTTATCGTTTTTGTTTATTTATTTACTTCTTATTAGCTCGTGAAAATTATTATGGTTTATTATTTTTAATGCGTAAGCTGTTCCAAACAAAATAATATAATTTTTAGATGTTACCCATCCGCGAATTAGGAAAGACAAGTCTAGATTTTCACTATTGCATTGAAGAATCTTAAACGTTCCCACTTTTTCTACATTAATCTCGTGTATTGAAAACTGATGAATGTTGATACATTTTATATTGGAAGAGAGAGAAAACGAAGTGGTCAAATTTCAACGGTACTACAAAAAATTTTATTCTTTATGTATTCAAATGTCTTAAAATGTAAAACATTATTATCGGATGTCGGATCACAAAGACACTTTAAATTGTTATGGTGCGCTATTCTTCGCAATTCTAATAATCTACATTTTTTGGGGAAGATTTGTCTGTTTTTGAAGCTAATCTGAAGAAACTAATTATGTTCGAAAATTGTAGTCTGAATCTATAGTCCTTTTAAATAGATATTAGTATTTTGAAATTGTTTTAGAACCATTTATAATTTTCTTTATTATAGCTTTTTAAACCTATGCATCGCGTAGACATGTTCAGTGGCCACCAATGGCAACGAAAACAGGTGTAGACTGACATGCTGAAAATATGAAAAGTAAATTAAATAAAGGTATCTTCTCCATTCATACTGTACATATACTTCAAGATTAAAGCAATTATTAATTTGTGAAATATCGCTATGATATAAAAAATTATAAATGGTTACTTGGCATGTGCTTATGGTATCGATTTGGTATGAGACGTTTTCGTCTACTTTCTTGTATATTCTCAGATTTGTTGGAGCCCTCCGTGTTTATTTCATTTAGAAAATTTAGTTGCAAAGGACTGTGTTTTTTCTTGCTCGTGCAGATGGATTGATTCTGTGTGATTCACTTTATTACAATTCCAAGTTTTATCACATTCATCATTAGAAAGCTCATTAGCACAATTTAAATAACAAAAAATTCGAAGCAATTTACTCGTTGCACAACAAAAGCGGACTGCTATTCCTTATAATACAAATTGCCCCGCCTTTTTTTGCTTTTGTTAAGAGCCGCAGTCAGAGATTAGAACAAGATAATATCTGCTGAATATTTGCTCTTTTAAATTACTCTCAGTTGACTGAATTTGATTTTTTCTTTTTTAACTTCGCATTAGGTAAGTACCGAGCAGAAAAGCAATGTATTTTTTTTATTACACATATCATTCAACTTTGCGTCAATTTTTGTAATTCATTGTTTTATAAGAGTTAGCAGAGCAGCAAATTACGAGTGCAACTTATTTGACAGCAGCTTAATGTGAACATTCTCCGTTATTTCGTTTGCTGTTGTTGAAATATTGGAAATATTGTAAATTTATATTGTATAGTAATAATAAATATCTAAAAGATAATGTCTAAGCCATATTCATCCGGAAACTACTGGCGATAAAATAGCAAATGAGGAAACTCAAAGCTCCACTGAAACCGAAGCAAGTGATCACGAATCTAAAAACTTCCAGTATACAGATAATATACCATATAAATATGAAACAGCTTGTTTGCGTGAAGAGGCAACGGCCAAATTAAGTGGTAAGAATTATATTGCAAGGTTGCAAAACCGCATTAAACTGTCAGAGCATAAGGGCTATGATGACAGTTCCAGCAGCGAACCAATCTCACCACAAACAAGTTCTCAAAATACAGTCTATAGATCCTTGGGACGTAAACCTGAGGATTTCGAGTATGCGGGAGCTAACCAAGGGAAAAACCACTCGTCATCACAGTATGAAACAACCAAGTCGTGACATTTCATGTAGTCACTGAAAGAACATCCAAGAAAACATGCTTCAACGAATTATTTTTCATTTTTCATTACATCTTCCACGGATTATTATGCGAATCCTCGTGTTGTAAGCTACACGGAAGATGAGAAATGCCCTCATAAGCGGATATGTTTTATATGTCTACCGCAATGCCCGGGTTCGATGCAAATGAAGAATTTTGTTCGTTATTAACAGACTCTCTTGGTTTGGTGTTATAAAATCTGTCGTTGGCAACTGTTTTTTATATAAGTCTGGATAATCAACCACACAAAACTTAAGATATGTTCCACGTCAAGGGTCAAAGCAATATTTCAAAATTTGCTCGGGTTTCACTCTAAAATGAAGAATACGTGTAAAAATGTATTTGTTCTTATTAGTGAGCGTTGTTATTTCAAAATCGTGTAAAGAAGACCGTGCAAAAAAAGCTTTCGTTGTACACCTATTAAACTTTAGGCATATCTTTAACAAAAAACAAACCTCATTCTATGATTGAAAATCAAACTAATCAGGAGTGGTGTACAGAAAACTTAAAAATGGCTTTTATAAAACGTTTATCAGAACGAAACATTTATGCTTTCTGTGGGCGGGTACTTTTAGAGTATTTCTACTAGACTTAGATTTGTCTAAAGACTACTCTAATGTAACATCTATAGAAATATATATATGTATACATATATACTGTTTAGATATTTATTTATTCAAAACAAAAAACATATTCATAATGATTTTCTGAAAACTTTAACTTGATATCTATATAATAATTACTTGTTATTTTTAATTATTTCCAGTTGAGATTTAAAATTTATGGACTGCTGTAACCGAGATATATAATAATAGTAATAACAATTCACCTGCGTCCCAAAAGTAAGACCAAGTTATATATATATTTTTTAAATCTATTTATTATTTCACATCAACGTCTTCAAAGTCAAATAGTAGAAGCTATTAATAATTTGGCCCGGCGAAAGGAATTCATAGTGCAGAACAAAACGATCATGGATAAAACTGGTTAATGGTTAACATCACCTTGACTTTGCGGCGGTCTAGCCTCACTTCAGACACAATATTAGCTTGATTGATCGGTTGTTTCCGGACCTTATTTCGTTTCATATCGCCAACAAGATTTAAGACAATTTCATTTCTCAGCGAAAAATCAAACACAGTCAAAATCGGAAAAAAATTTTTTGTGTCGTGTAAAACGAAGCGCATATGAAGACCTAATCATACATATAATGCGAAATTTGACATTTGTCAAATGTGACTGTCATAGTGCTTGCAATTTAGAAAAAAAATATTTCTGCTTTGACTTGAATATTGGTCTTACCTTTATTGCAGCGAGCAATAACGCATTTTTGAGCAAGAAAACCTGAAGTAGAAGTGAGAAAGATTTTAGATTGCATAAAAAATAATTCATGGTAGCTGCTTCTAAAGAGCGAGTTCGCCAAGATTACTGTCTGCTTCGAAAAAACATTGTAAGCGAATTTATTTGAAATAAAGTTAATATGGTGCGTATAGAAATTTTCCTAAGTTTTTATGACTTTAGATGGTAATAGATATATAGGTTGTTGGGAAAAACTTCAAATGTGTCTTAGCGCTGTATATCTAGTTTTGATTTTTTACAACCTGACGATCCGCAACTATTTTGACGACAGCTGATTTGTAAATATTTATTTATTTAATAAGTATTTGTATAAAGAAATGACTTGGAATATTAATACAAATTAAAACACTGAAAGCCGTACCTTTTAACAAATCAACAATATATCTTGTCGATAATGACGCGTCTGCTTCTAGGGCCTTGGCATGTTAATGACATTAACGACATTAGCTGGAACTTAAGGAACAATCGCATTTTCTCAAAGTTAGACTTGGTCACGGCGTATCATCAGACTTCGATGGTGGAATTTATAAGACAGTTATAACAACGTCTTTCGGTATATTTGCGTTCACTAGAATGCCTTTTGGGTTAAGGAATTCTTCGCAGACATTCTAACAATTTGTTAACGCAGCGTTTAAGAACTTAGATTTTATATTTATATGTTATTGCTACCAGTGAATCGGTATCGCAAATTCGAAGGATTGCAAACGCCAGACAGAATACATTCTCTTCCTTCCACACAACGGCCGTAAGAAAATCTTTCAGCATACACTTGGGCTACACATCGCAAGTGAAGAATTAAGGGGTATTTCTACAGAAGACCATCTGTTCACCGACAATGCCTGTGATTTAGTTTGAAATTTTTCATTAGATTATTAATTACTAGCTGTTATGCTTTTTCATAGTCCCCATTATTCGATCTATTTTTTGTCCGATGGGCTCACTAATAAAATGGAACTTAATTTAAGATGTGGTAGAATCCTTTATTCAAGCAAAACATTTGACTACCGAAGTTAAGGACGCCTGTCGCAGCCGCTTAGGCAGGCCCTGACC